CCAGGGTGTGTGGTTTAGAAGCTTCCACAGGTTTCTTTGGCTTTGTCGACCGTAATGGCTTTCACTGCACAAGCCAGGGAAGCAACGAAGGGCCCTGCCAGCGGCTCGTGTGCAACCCAGGTGTGCGCCGGGGGCTCTAACATCACGATGGGAGGCCCACGCCCAGGCCCCCGGCAAGGAGGCTTGCGCCCGGGTGCATGTGTCCCCGTACGCCCTCACGCTGACCGTGGCCGCGTCTGGGTCCCCTCGTAGCAATGCCAGGACCGAGGCCAGCTCTCTAACCAACAGACGGGCCTGGGGACGCACCGACCTGCGCACGGCAGGAGGGTCAGCAGCACCCAGACACCCGGGGAGGGCGCACTCAGTGACAAGCGCACCTGGGCCATGCGGGTGGTGGGCATCGGGTCCCGGGCTGCCGGGCCACTGCCAGGCCAGCTCCGACGCGGGCAGCACCAGCCCCCTGGCGCCCCAGCAGCCCCCGCGGGGGTGGGGGGCAGCCGCTCTCGGGCAGGGCGGTGCCGGGCTGCAGGTCATGCAGTCAGGAGACGGGGAGCAGGGCCCCCCAGTGCCAAGTGTCCAGGAGCCGTGAGGTGCAGGCTGCAAGGGAGGCCGCCGAGGCCCTGGTGCAAACCTTCACTTGCCTCAGGGCCCTGTGTGGGGTGCGCCCCTGCAACGCCCGAGAACCTGTCAGCCCAGGGGGTGACACTGGCGCCTCCCCACCGGCCTCGGTGAGGGGGACAGGGAGGGGAGAACACTCCGCGAAGGCCCATCACTTCTGTGGACCCAGCACGTGCCCACACCTGAGTGAGGGGGAGGCCCTGGGGCCCGTGCCACGTCCCCGTGTGCCTGCGACGGGTCCTCAGGGCCCCCAGCCCAAGGACGAGAAACCGGGGCACCCACATGGCAGAGCCAGGCCCCCACACGGCAGCGCCCTGGGGCCACGCGGCCACCCCGTTAAAGCCCAAACAGACGGCCCGGGGGGCTGGGCGAGCCGGGGAGCTCCCCCACTCGGCGTCCCCCGCCTCCCCGGCCAGCCCCCCGACCCCGCCGGAAAGCCAGCTGTGACAGGCAGCTTTCCGCGGCCCCTCGCTCAGTTATGGCTTATGTACGGCCCCCCAGGCAGCTGGCTCGCGGGAGGGACCGGCTTTATAAATAAAATTTATCATTGTAATTATGGCTCCTGTAGAGAGCTGAGGACTTTTACAGCCTCTTGGAGGTCATGAATAATTTAGGAGATGGGAGAAGGGGCCGCTTCTGTTAGTGCACAATGGGGCCCAGCAGTTCCCATTATGGCAGCTGTTGGAGACAGATGACTGGGGCCCCGCGTCCCGCGGTTCCGACTGGCGCGGGCCCTGGCCTCGGGGCGGGGGGCACCACCCGGCAGCCCGGCTTCTGCTTGGGGGCTCCTGCTGGGTGGCGGGTGGCCGGGTGTGGCCCCAAGGGCCAGTGGGTCCGTGCTTCAGCCCGGGAACGACACACCGCGGGCATGGCCAGGCGCAGCTGGCCTGTCACCTCAGGCAGGACCCTCCACCCGCACCTGCGGACCAGCAGGGAGGCGTCTCCCAGCAGCTGCAGGTCGCGAGCACCTTGCTGGACATGCAGGCCAGACGCCACGCTCGACGTTGCCAGCTCTCCCTCCCTCTGTGCCTCCGACCCCGGTGTTACCCCAGAATCAAGGGGAGCCTTTCAGAGACCCCAAGGGCAGGAACCATCCTTTGGTTGCCTCCAGTTGTGGAGGACTCACTACCTCACTGTCAGCTGTTCCTCTGCCTGGTTGAAAATCCCGCCGCCCCCCCATGTCTCCCACAAATGGCGGCCTGTGGTCCTCAGCCTCGGCCCCCCTTCTGGGTCCCACCCAGCGTGTGCACCAGCCCCTCCAGTGTAAGGCTCGTGCTCTCCCACCCCCGCCCCTCCTTTCTCCCGAGCCCCTCACCCAGCCACAGCCTTCACTCTCGGATCCACCAAAGGGCTCCGGCCAAGTCCGGGGGGGGACATCCCCCTCCTCATCCCTCCTGGCCCCGCAGTGGTGCCGAGAGCCCTCTCGCTTCTGTCCACGCCTCTTGGGACCCACAGGCCCCGTGCTCACCCTGGAGGGTCCGGGGCCCATCCTCGGGCCCCTCCGTGCCCCTGTCCCGGGCACCCCAGGGTGGCTCCGCCAGCCCCACAGCTCTCCTCCCTGAGAACGGCCTGGCCATTTGCTGCAGCTGCCATAACCAGGTGCCACAAACAGGGTGACTGGAGCAATAGCAAACAAGGGAAATTAATTTACTCCCCGCGGGGACGCAGCCCTGTGACCCAGGTCGCACAGGGGTCGCACGGGGGCCACACAGGTGTGAGCAGGCGAGTGCCCTCAGGCAGTTTCCCCTCAAGCCTGGCTGGGCGACCTGCCCACGCTGGACCCGGCCCTGGAGCCCGGCCACGGCGAGGGAGGGGCCGCATCCGGGCCTCGGCTCCCAGCGCCGACCTCAGGCCCCCTCATCCAGCAGGACTTCGGTCCTGGTCCCGGGACGCCTGGTGGGCCGGCCCAAGCTGGCCCAGCACGGAGGCCTCTGTGACGCTCCCAGGCCACCCTGAGTCACTGCGACCCCATTACAGAGCCCCGCGGGCCCCCTGGCCTCCGACGATGTCAGCCCTGCCCTGGCTCACCAGACCATCGGCGTGGGGGGCCGCGGGCGCCCCGGCTGCAGCGGGACACGACTCCGGCGTCCCCGGGTGGGACGGCCACCCGACCCAGCGAGCCCAGTAAAGCAGACTCCAGCCCGGTGTGGGGGGCCTCGTCCGATCCGTGGGGGCCCAGGCAGCACATGGAGGGGAGAGAGCCGCGCCCTCCGACGTCCTCCGGCCGGGACCCGGGTCTGCCCAGCCCGTGGGCTCGGAGGGGTACCCACAGCAGCCCCGGGTCTGCAGCTGGCCGCCCACCGGCCGTGGGACCTCGCAGCCCGCACGAGGCCTGGGTGACCAGTCCCCCAGGGCGAGGTCTACGCGCACTCGTATGCGGACCTGCCCGCCTCTCTGGGGAACCCTAATAAAGACCCCCAGGCTTTTCTCTTCTAGGCCTCACAGCTCTTGGAACCACATGGGTTCTGGGACCTGCTGCCTCCCCGAGAACCCGCAGCCAAGCGAGCACAGCGCTGCGTGCCCAGGGCCCGCACAGGGCAGGGGCACAGTGAAGATCCGCAGATGGAAGGCCTCGTGGGCTGCAGCGGGTCTCGGCGCTGCCAGCATACGGGGGAGTCGCGGCGTGTTGCCTGGGGTCCCCTCGCTGGTCTGCAACCGAGCCAGGACCCAACCCAGGCTCCTGGCCCCCACGGCGCCTCCCCAGGGGCACAGGGACCAGGAGCATCTGAGGACTCCCCTGGGCCCACCTTATCTCGCCCTGCAGACGCCAGGCGGGTCTGAAGCTCAGTCGATGCAGGGGCGAGCAGAGGGCGCCGCATCTGACCAGATGAGGCCGGACACGTTACCAGGCTGGGGCGGGTCTCGGGCAGCTGGGCCTGGGGCTCGCCAGTAAATCACCTGGAGCTAGCTGCTGCAGGGGCAGGCGACGGGCTGCAGGGGCAGGCGACGGGGCTCCCGGGGCAGCAGGCGCTGGGCCACCCCGGCCCCGGCCAGGAGGGCCCCAAGAGAGCGGCCCCAGAGCCCGGCGGGGTGCAGGGTGGGCGCAGGGCTCCTGTAGCTCCAGGACCTCAGGAAGCCAAGCTGCAGGCAGGACCCCCCCTCTCCCCAGCCCTCCCGGGCGGTATCCCCAGAACAGGGGACACCAAACTGTGTCCCTTTGATAAATGAAGGTGGAAAGAGCTTCCGTGGAACAGAGCCATGCCTGTGCATCCTCCGTCCACGCCTCGGCTGCTCCTGCCCCAGGAGGCGAGTCAAGCCCAGGGAACCTGGCACGTCGGCCATCTGACCCTTTACAAGGGGGTCTGCTCCCCCAGCACGGAGACAGCGCGGGGGCTGCGCCCCCACATGACACCTCGCCAACCTCCGCACACACCGTGCGCCAGCGCTGCGTTCCAGGCGCCGTGGCTTCGTGGCCCACAGGGGGCCCCAGGACCCCGAGAGGCAGTCACCCCTCGGCTCCCACTGCCCCTCCTGGCCCTGGTCCTCCCAGATGCCCTGGTGACCCTGCAGCGCTGCCTGAGTGCCCAGGTGGGGCGTCTCTCCACACCTCCTCGGGCTCCCCAGGACGGGTTGACCCCTCTGGGATACACCCACACCTGACCTCCTGTCCTTTCTCGGGCCTCGCCCCATCGGGCGGCCCCATGTGCCAGCGCGTCGGGAGCGGGCGGGGGGCACTGTCCTCAGCCCCGGATGCAGGCCAGCTCAGCACCTGCGCAGCAGAGCAGCTGCCATTCAGACACAAGGAGCCCCAGCCCAGAGGGGACCCTGGGAAATGCTGGTCCCTTTGCCCTGCCGTCCCCCTCTGACCCGAGTGCCGGCTCCGCCTGCCAGGCCCATGTGGGGCTCAGCCCTGCACCCCAAATCAGCAGCATGGGATCCACGCTTTGGCTTTTCCCCCTGGGACCCCAGAGCAGGATGTAGGGGGTGCAGGGGTGAGAAGCAGGGTGGCCCCTCCCTCCCCGGGGCTCCTCTCTGGGGCAGGGTCGAGCCAGGCTGGACTCTACGCTCACCAGGCCTCTTACAGCCCCCACATCACCCCAGCCTTCTGCCTCCCCGAGCCCCGCTCTGCCTCTGATTCCAGCCATGGGCTTCCAAGGCCGCAGAGCTCTGGACCCAGAACCCAGGAGGGCAAGGAGGGGGCACTGACCCCGTCTCTTGTCTGCGTTCAGGGCCTGGGAAACCAGTAGCTCCTCTTCTGCGCCCGGGCCAGCGGCCTATCCGCAGGGTCACTGCTATTTCTGCCAAAGGGGAGAGGTAATTATAGCTCAGCTCTTGCCAGCTGGCCAGGCTCCGCAGCCCTGCAGAGGGGCCTGGGGCGGGGACGCAGGCCGGCCACAGATTGGCCCCACGGGCGGCCGGCAGCAGCTCCAGACCGGAGCAGCAAGGGACTGGACAGACAAGGGACCGCCCCTCCGGGGGGGGGTGCTGTGGCCAACATCGGGCCAGGACCACACTGAACCCCTCTCAGGGGAGGACGCCACAGAGCCTGGCTTCGCGGACCCAGGAGGGAGCCAGGTGAGAGCCCAGCTCAGGGGCATAGGTAGAAACTCACTTCCCATTTGGGAACGAAGCTTCCAGAGTGGAGATTCCCAGCAAAGACGCAGGCAGAGAACCTGCCACGGGCAGGCGAGCAGGTGGGCAGGTGGGCAGGTGCACAGGTGGGCAGAGGGCGGGCCACACCATGCGGCCCTGGACAAGGACTGGGGGGGGAGGGCGTCCATCCCATTCACCGGGGACGTGGCCTTTGGTGCTAAAATGGGCACATTCCCAAGCCAGCCAGCATGGTCAGTGACCCCAGAAGACCTAGGCCCCTCTGAACCTCACATCTTGTCTGAAAAGTGGGGGTGGCGGGTGCTTGCGGAGACGCCTCAGGGGCCTGGCCTGAGCCGAGGGTCCGTGCATGCTCCTGCCTGAGGCCTGGCCGTCCTCGGGTGAAGTGGGAACCCGGCCAGCCCCCACAAGGCTGGGGGCGCGACTCTACAAATCGGAGCCAAGCGCGGTCTCCTCGGAAGCTGCCGACAGACGGGGTTCCCGTCATTTTGCAGGGGCCGAGGCCAGGGTCGGGGGGAGGGCGGGAGCGTCCCGCTGCGGTGGGTCCACTCAGGCACACTGGAGTCGGACCCGGTCACTCAGCCCGGCCGGCGCGCTCCGTTAGCCGCAGCAAGGCCCTCTCCTGAGCTGACCGGCCCACCGCGCACCTGGGTCACCCTCTCACCTCAGAACACAGCATTTATCGGGCACCCACTGCGTGCAGGTCCCTCCAGGAGGGTCAGCACGTTCTCTCCGTCTTCACAGCGTGCTGGGCGGTTGGCGAACAACGTCCATTCTACATGAGGGCCTGGGACGCGGGGTGAGGGACCCACCTGGGTCTCACTGTGGCCAGGGTCTAGGCTAGGGTCCACCTCCTCCCTCCCTCCTGCCTGGGGGCTGGAGGCCAAGGCCGGCCGCGCCGCACTCTGGGGCACCCCCCTGCACCCAGCAGACACCCAGCCATCCCCCGACCCGTGTCCTAGATGCATGTCGAGAGATGTGGGGGAGTGTCCTTGGAGGCTGCCAGGACAGCTCCATCCCCGCGTCCCCAACTCTAGGCAGGCGCCTGGGCTAGCCCGTGAGCGAGTGGTCAGCCGGGGTGTCCCGGGGGGGGGGGGGCTCTCCTCTTGCTTAAATCAGAAACGTGTGTTATCTGGGCAGCTGCCAGCCTGCTCCAGCCGGCCCCCCCCCGGGCGCCCCCATCCTCCTGAGGGGAGGCCAGCTTGGGGGTGCCCATGGCCTCCTGTCCCCTCGTCCAGCTGCAGGAAGGCCTCAGCGCCCCCCCCAACTCAGCCAAGCTGCTGGGGGAGGGGGAGGGCAAAGGGCCCAAGGCACCGAGCCCACGCGCTGACAGCTTCCTCCACGGCCACCCGAGGCCGTGGCCCCGCGGCTGTAATGGAAACTTCCCAGCGGGCCTGTGAGCCGACGGCTCCGGTTCCCACTCCGCTCAGGCTCTGATCGCCCGTGGACTGGGGACAGGGCAGGTGGGCGAGGCCACGCAGGGGTGCGGCACCTGCAGGAGCCCAGGTGGGCCGGGGTCTGTGTGTGAGTGTGTGCGCGTGTGCATGGGGGGGCGCCGTGCACGTATGTGGTGTGTGGACCGTGGGGTCCTAGCTCCAGCCTCTCCAGCCCCTGACGTGCTTCTCCCACCTGTGTCAGCCCGGGCCCCCCTGGAGGAGGTGTCACCAGGACAGGTGAGTGGAAGGATCCCGGGCTGTGGCTCTGCTGGCTCAGCCTCCAGAGCCACAGGCCGGGAGGAGACCCTCCGCCTCCCCGGGGCTACAGGACGCCCGGCAGACTCCCCATCCCCTGAGCCCCGGGGTCCCGGGGGTGAACAGGCACGGTGCAGGGTGTGAGGGGTGACGGGGGCAGGCATGGGTGCCGAAGCCGCTGCCGGCCACCATCGGGGCTGAGGAAGGCCCCCTCCCCATGCAGGGCTGCACTACTCAGGGGTGTCCGAGGGACCCCTGGTGAGGATGGAGACGCGCCAGCGGCGGTGGTGGTCGGTGGGCGTGGGGAGCGAGCGGGGTGCAAAGGTGTGGTCGGCTTGGCCCGGGCGGAGGCGACGACCCCACCGGGTGGCAAGACACAGCAAAGGCAGGACAGCGGCCCGGCCCTGGGGCTTGCGCTCTCGGAGGTGGGGAGCCTGGTGGTCCCCGTGTGCAGAGCTGGGGCCGGGGGGCGGGGTGCGCGGCTGGGCTGGAGAGCCGGGGGACAGAGGCTCAGTGTCGGCGGGCCACACCCCAGAGACCGTCGGGGCTCCTGTGGATGCACGGCCTCGGCCAGCCCTGTGCCCCTGAAGGACAGCGGGCGAGCGTGGGGCTCCCCGCTCAGCACCCCTGACCCGCGGGCCTGGAGCAGGAGCTCCGGGGACGGCTGGGGGGCCCCCACCCAGAGACGACACTGGGCAGCCCTATGCTCTGGGCTCCGGCTCCAGGGACTGGCAGGCTCAGTGTCCCTCCCTCAGGGGGAAGCGAGTGTCCCCACCACGGAGGTGACTGTCATGGGGAGGCAGGCCCTCGGGGCGTGTCCTCGGGGCCCAGGGCGGTGGTGACACTCCGCAGGCCCAGGGCCTGAGCTATTTTCCACCCGTTATCACCCATCTGTCCGCGGACACTCCTGTTACACGCTCGCTGCCAGAGGCCCCGGGGCCTCCCCGCTCCCCCGCACGGCCCTGCCCTCGGCGCCAGCAACAGCAGTGCTCGCCTCCTGCTGTGCGACTGCTGGGGAAACTGAGGCCCAGGCAAAGGCGCGGCCAGAGAAGGCCCCGGGGAGGGGGGTCGTCCTCACACGGGCAGAGGGGCCCTGGGCTCGGCGCCCCAGCAGAGCCACTGTTTCCCTGAGAGACGGAGCCCTGGCACCCCCTCGGGCTCACCCTGAGCCCCCGACACGCACAGCGAGCTGCCCTCACCAAGCCCACGGAGCAAGTGGCTGCTGTGAGCCCGCTTTCAGCTTAGACCGAGGCACGGAGAGCCTAGGGGGCCTGTCCAAGGTCACGCACGGTCACACGGGCACGCGATGAAGCTGGTGGGACCCACCCGGTCACTGCCAGGACACGCACGGACACACTGCACACGCTGCACACACACATGCACACAGGCACAGTCATACAGACACACTCATACGTGTGCTCACGTGCACAGGACATGCACCACAGGCTTGTGCGATCACACATCCCCACACTACACACTTACATGTGCACGCTCATGTACATGCATACAAATAGCGTGCACAAGCATGCACACACATGCTAAGGTGTATGTGCAGTTACCCTTGCACACACAGTGTACACACATACTTGCACATATATACATATGGACACATGCACACACTCATGCTCACACGTGCACGTGCACAATGCTCAGACTCAAGCTCATGTGCACACGCATGCTCACACATCTATGCATATGCACACTCATGCTCACACATGTATGCATATGCACACATGCACACCCTCTTGCTCACACACACACACACACACGCATGTACACTCACTGCTGTCCCCAGCGCCGGGCAGGAGGGCAAGGTGCTGCAGGGCCCCCAGCTGGGTGCTGCTCTGCGAGCCTCTGGGCCTGTCTCCTTACCTGGGAGGCCAGCAAGTTCTTAAGAGAAGCCGTCCTCCCTCTGTGTCCCCTTCCCTGGGCCCACGGCTCCGTCCCTGACCCTATTTGCAATAAACACCCGATGCTGAGAAGGAGAAAACTGGTCCATTTAGAAACAGTTGAAGCTGCCCCGGCCGTGGAGGGCAGACATCATTATGGGGTGGTGCGCGGCTGCAATGTGGACGCCTGCGGGGTCCGAGGGCTGCAGCCACCCTGTCCTGTCACATCCCCGGGGAAGACTGCAGGGGGGGGCCCTGCTCACTCCTCGGGGCGGCCCGCCCCCTGGGGGGCCCTGACGGCACCATGCTGAGGACACTGCGGGAGCCTCCCCAGCAGCCCTGCTCAGCCCTGGGCAGGGGGTGGACATCCTTGGAGGATACGGGCAGGACGCTCCTCACAAAACCCAAACATTCACCATGTACAGCGGGCGGGAGCAGGGATGTCCCCGAGGACCCCAGAGCAGGGAGTCCAGGAGGAGCCTGCGACTGGGGATAGGAGGGGAAGGTGGCCCCCATGCCCCCCCAAGTCCTCTCATTATCCAGGGGGAGGGGCAGAGGGGAAGCCCCAGCCTCAATGTCCCCACGTGGACACTGAAGGGGGTGAGCAATCACGGGCCCATGGGCGGAAGTGGGGAGGGGCCGCCTCACACCCACTAAGTAAGCGAGGCAAGCGCAGCACAGGGCTGGATGGAGATGGAGAGACGGAGATCAGAGAGTCCGGGCAAGCCCCAGGGGCGCCCCAGCAAGGCCCGGCCCGGGACCCCCTCCCTCCCACCCCGAGGTCTCCCCATCATGGCCTCAAAACACTGTGAGTGACATAACACACACTTCCTGAGTGGTCGTCGTGCCTTAAGACGGCAGCCCCGAAAGCTGATGACGGGGACACTGGGGGGACACTGGCCGCCGGGGAGGGTGCAGGGGGCTCCGTGCTGGGAGGAGGACAGCGCGTCTCCTCGGGGGCAGGCCCGACTGGAAAATTCTCCCTCCCTCTCCTCCGACCAGGCTGCCCCAACAACATATACCGTCTCCGCTTCTCTTAGGACCATGTTCCAATAAATGAGGACTGCAGGGCGAGGCTTGAGCCCCGACTCCCGGCCAGAGACGCGACATCAGACCAGGACGAATGGAGAGGCCGCTCCGGGCTCGCCGATGCCCAGGGCGGGGAGGGTGAGGCAGGGGTCTGCACAAGCCTCCACCCCGGGGTCCCAAAGCCAAGTGCACCAGGGTCCGAGATCTGAGCACCCACTGGGGGCGGGGAAGGGGGAGCAGAGGCAGGACACATGGTCCCTGTTCTTGCCCTGAGCAGCGCGGCCCCAGGAACCCCAGGAGAGGAAATCACCAGGTGGGGAGCTGCGGGCTCCTGGCTGGTGGCTGGTGGCCCTGGACCGGTTTGGTCTCACAGAGAGGGTGTGAGGGCCCTGGGAGGGGAGGGAGACTGTACACTCAAAGGTGCAAAGCCAGGGCCCAGGGCGGGGGTACAGCGAGTGAGACTGCAGGGAGGGTGGCCCAGGAAGCTGAGCCCCTGGGGAGCGTGGGCGGGCAAGGCAGAGGGGGCAGGAGGGGGTGCTCTGGAACAGGGCAGCAACAAGTCTGGATGCTGCCCTAGCAAGGTCACCTTGCAGCCAGGAGTGGGGGGGTGGGGGTGAGGGGGTGGAGACAGGACGGCCAGGACATCCTGTGAGGGGACAGCTGGGAAGGGCCCAGGCCAGGCCAAAGGGGGGCCCGACTTCAGACCTGAGTCCCCACCTGGCATGTGTGCTCGCCGCCCAGCCAGGGCAGGCCACAGGCGCAGGTGTCCCAGCCAGGGGGAGGGGGCAGCCGTGAGCAGATCCCACCCCAGGACTCGGTGGGTCTCCAGCCCCCCAGGAGGCCAGCAGCAAGGCCTCCCAGCCAGGAGCCGTTCCACCTGGGTGTACTCACACTCAGAACAGCCTGTTGTCCCCATTTTATAGAAGGGAACGCTGAGGCTCAGAGCGGCCTGGTAACTCCACATTCCAGCGTGGGTGGGAGGGCAGCCCCTGGGCAGGCACCTGTGTCCAGGCTCCGTCCCTCCCCAGCCTGGGTCTCATGCTCAGATCCCCCGCCTTGTCCGCGGTGAGTGACGGAGGCCCACTGTGGGGCACAAGCCAGGCGCTGACCTCGGATGGCCCGGCTCAGGCCCGCCTGCCCCCGGCACCCAGGCCCAGAGGAGAGCCGGGGCCCTGGGTGCTGGGATTCGGTGAGGTTCTGTGCAGGCGGCTCGGACGTGAAGATGGCCCTCGGTGGAGAGTCACAGTTACCGTCACCCTCACCATCGTTACCACGGACACCATGGGTGGGGGCACAGCCTGGGCGGGAGACACAGGCCCGTGCGGCCACTGACCACAGCCGCGGCACCACGAACACTGCCGTCCGGTTGTGACGGCCCCAGCGGCTCTGTTCCAGCCCCGGGCACTCGGGAGCAGCCCCAGGGTCACCCTGCCAGGCTGGCGCTGCAGGTGGGGCAGGTCCACGGGGTCTCCACACCCCCTGCCCGTCGGGCCCCCCACAGGCATCGCTCTTCATAAACCCAGAGGCGGCGGCGGGGATCCTGGCCGGGGCGCCTCGTCTCCAGCCCCTGGGGGCTCACCTCGGCCCGCTTCCCTCTGCCTCCCACCCCTGCCCCAGGAGGGCGACAGGAGGTGCCCCCCGTCCATCCTGAGGCGGAGCCGGACAGAGCGCCGCGGCGTGGAGCCACAGAGGACCTCGAGGCGGGTGCGGTTCCGGGAACCCCTGGAGGTGGCCGTGCACTGTAAGAAGGGAACCCGGGGAGCAGACCCGGGGCCAGGTGGGGAAGGGGCACACGCATCCCAGGACCCTCAGAGGGCCACCCGGAGGGCCTGCAGCCACCCGTCCTGTCTCCCCGGGGCCGGTGGGTCAGTCTGGACAGAGTAACGGTCAACACGACAGCCACTGGCAGGAAACAGCGAATCCAGAGCTGCCCAAATCCCTGTCGATCGAGGGAAGGCCGGTGGGCAGGGCCCCCGGCGCCCACCCACTCTTCCCCCCAGCACTGCCCCTCGGCTCCTCCCACACCTGCATCCTTCACTGCCCCCTCCCAGATTCTCCCAGCCCCCACCGCAGGTCCTGGGGGTCCCCCTGCCCCGGAGCCCCTCATGGCCACCTGCCCTCTCCTCCCCTGGCCCTTTGGCTCCTGCTCTGGCCTTTCCCATGGGACCGGCCCCTGTAACCTCTAGCTACGCCACGTAACAAATTAGCACAGATTTAGAAGCTTTGAGCAACCCACATTTATTATCACAGCGACCCCGTGGGTCAGGGGTGTAGGCACGGTGTAGCCGGTCGTCTGCTCAGGTCCCGCAGGGCTGCTATCTGGTGCGGGCCGGGCCGCCTCTCAGCCGAGGCCTGGGGCCCTCTTCCAAGCGCACAGAGCTGCCTGCAGAGCTCGCAGACCGCCGGTTCTAGACAGCTTGCCTGATTAGGGCAGGCCCACCCCAGATAATCTGGAGACCCTTTGATTGACTCAAAGTCAGCTGATTGGGGTTTGCATCTTCCGCTTTGCCTTATTCTGCGGGGAAGCAGCAAGTCACAGGCCCCCGCACTACGGGGAGGGGACCACAGAGCTGAGGACACAGAGGGGTGGGGCTCACGGGGGCATCTTAGATTCTGCGCACTTAGCCGGGTACTTCCTGACACCTGCCGAGTTATGGGTAAAACTCAGGCCCGGCACCTGTTAGGGTCTCCCTGGATGGCCTGCCCTAAAGGTCCAGTCCGGGCCTCAACCCCTCTCCCCGCGGCCGCCGATCCCTAGGCTGCTCACACCTGCTCGTCCCTCCCGGCTCAGCACTGCCCCCCACGCACAGCCCTGCACTCCCCCGGGAGCTTCCCAGCAGCCCGAGAGGCACAGACCGCAGGCGGGGCATGGGGCCCAGGTGGCGGGGTGCGCGGCCCCCCAGGGCACTGTGGATGGGAGGGAGGGTCCTGCCCCTGCCGCTTGCCAGGACCCCTGCAGGCTCCTCCCCCAGGCCAGCACGGGGTCGCCACACCCCAGCTCCCACAGGCTCTGACAGCAGCGCCTCTTGGGATCCCCAGTTCTGGCAGCCTGAACCCAAAGCCGTGGGGCTGGGCCACCCCTGGCAGGGCTGGGTGGCACTGGGCAGGACGCGGGCCTGTCAGACCCTGGGCTGCCCACTCGCGAACCAGGCAGGGCAGGTGTATCTGAGTCGGCCCGTCCCAGGGTGCTTTGTGGGGTCCCGACGGCACCGTGCAGGCTGAGGGTACGTGCGCCCCCGTGTACCCCCCTGTGCACTCCCAGGCCAGGGACCCTCCCTGCCCAAGCCCACTTGTGGCTCTCGTTCCCAGACATCGCCAGCAGGGAGACTGGCGCCACCACCAAGGGTGAGTGTGAACCCTCGCCCCCGCCCCCACGCCCTGCCCGGCACCCTCCCATACACGCCCCCGTGGCTCCAGCCACCCCCCCCTTCCCCACCCTGACAAGGTCATTCCCTCCGTCAGGGTCCCTGACACACTCCATAGGCAGACCCTCTGGGGTCACTCCCGGTTACTCCGTCCCCAAGGGAGGCTGCCGGGGCAGAGCCAACGGGGGGCTCTTTGGCCAGGAAGCCACCTGACACCCGCAGAGGCCCCAGGCAGGGATGGGGGTGCTCCGGGCCGCGCGGGGACCACAGGGAGCACCCCAAAGACCCGCCTCAAAGGTGCCCCCCACCGGGGTGAGCCTCGCTCTCCCTGCAGCCACCCCCCAGCCCCGCAGGGAGGGGGCTCACCCGGGTGCCCCTCCCCGCCAGCGCCCAGCCGGCCCCGGCCCCCACGTGGCTCCCTGTTCCTGCGGCTGTCCGTGTGCGTCCTGCTGGTGCTGGTGCTCGGTCTGTACTGCGGCCGGGCCCAGCCGGTGGCGCTGGCCCTGGAGGACCTCCGGGCCCGGCTCCTCGTCCTCGCCCTGCGCCTGAGGCATACAGCCCTGAGCTGCTGGCACTGCCTGCTGCAGCTGTGACGGCCGCCCCCCACCCCAGGGCTTCGGGTGTGCAGGGCAGGAGGGCGAGAGCCCAGGTCAGGTCTGGGGGCTTCCAGAGGGCCCCACCCCCTCCACTCAGAGCCCCTCTTGTTGCACCTGTCAGGGTCCCCCGTGAGGTTTTATTAGAATTCCACACCTGCTTCAGCCCCCCCGGGGGGCCCCCAGACCCCTCCCTCACCCCGTGGGCACCCTCCTCCATATCCTTGGGTGGGGCCTGGATGTGGCCACGCGGAGCCTCCTGAAGACAGGGACACCGAGCCTGTACCTGTGGGACCCCTCGGAGATGAAAGTGGCCTTTGCTGCTCCAGGCTTGCGGGGCCTGGACCTCGGAACCCCGTGGAGACAGACGGGTCCGGCTGTTGGGGTGGCGCCCCCCCCCTCCTGAAGCTGCACGCAGGGCAGGGCCTGGCATCTCCTCTTGTAGGTGGTGTTGGGGTGCCAGGCTCTGAGCCCAGCTCTGGCCCCTCCCCTGCTCCCCAAGGCCTCCGGGACCCCCTCATGCCCCGGTGGGGAAATGTGCTGCCCCCCTCCTCCTCAGCTGTCCACCAGGCAGTGGCTGAGAGGGACCTGGCTCTGCCCGGACCCCGCCACCTTCAGAACACGGCCGTCTGCGCCCGGACCCCGGGCTGCGCCGCACACCAGCTGCAGGCCCTCTGGGTCCCACGACCGTAGGCAGACGGCGTGCCCCCACCGGTGTTGCAAGGCCATGGGGAGGCATGTGGTGACAAACTGCAGACCCTGCGTGGAGGGGGACCCCTGAACAAAGCGGGGAGGCCCACGGTCAGACACCAGGAGGGACTGCCAGGAAGACGCCATCCCGCCCAGCAACCTTCAGACAAGTGCCCACGGGACGGCCAGTCCCGCCCCCTCCAGGGGCTTATGCCCTGAGCGCCCGTCCCCTCGACCTCAGTGGGGACACACTGATTTTCTATTAAAGCACACGCTGCCACCTCTCTTACTGGTCCGGGCGTTCTTACCCCAAGGAAGGATATGGGGAGTCCGCTTCCTCAGCTAAAGTAGAGGTGGGGGCACAGAGGGAGCCTGTCCTTCCGGGCCTCGGGGCTCGGGAGGTGCTTTCCAGGGCTTGGGGTTTGGGGAGCCCAGTGGAGAGGAGGGGCCCGCCTCCAGGAGCGGCAGCCTTCAGGGGGCCATGAGGGGGGTCCAGGTCCCCGCCCTCGCAGACCCTCCAGTGTCACCAGCTGGTTCCAGCGTGACCACGGTGGTGACCGCCACCTCCGGCACCCGTCCAGCCGTCCCCGCAGGACCCCGCCTCATCTCACCCCACCCCCCGAAGAGGACAGGCAGGTTACTGTCCCCTGTTCCAGGTGGGGAAACAGGCTGGGAGAGGTTGGGTCACGTGCCCAAACCGTGGGGCAGGCACAGGCCTCAGGCTCGGCCCCGTCCAGCCCGGTCCCGACCGGGGGAAGCCCCGCCACTGCCCCGTCTCTGCAACGACACCCCAGCTCTGGAGGGTCCACAAGACTATGAGCCACGGCTTCGGGGAGACGCTGCTCAGCAGGTGCGCCGTGACCCCGAGACGTCCGTCCTCACACCTGGGGGAGCCGAGACGGGCCGGGCGAGAATGGAGCCCCCAGAACACGTGCACAGGGGAGGGCCCCGCCACGGGAAGGCCCCCCAACCCCGGCCAGTCCCTGAAGCCACAGGAACACACGCGGGCAGGTTTTCAAATCTCAGAAACGGAGGAAACCTAGAAGCGGGGAGGCGAGGGTGGGGCGGGGACGTGGGGGGACGGCGCCCGAGTCCACACCCCGGGCTCAGGACCTCTGTGTTTATTTTGACTTTGACAAACATACATTTAAGGGGAAGACTCGCTACTGTCGATTTCCTCAGCAGAATTAAAGCCGCGCGGCCGCCCCCAGCCGGGAGAAGCAAGGCACCCCAGAAGCCATCCGTGGCCCTCTCAGGAAGCCTGGGGCGGGCCCCTGCCTTTCCTGTCCTGCCCCAGGGCCCCCCGACCCCGCCCGCTGCAGGGCACACAGCTCAGTCCCACTACCCATCCAGGGGCTCAGCTGTCCCTCCCCGGCAGCCCCCAGGCACGGACGTCGGGAGGTGCCGGGTACCCCCGGCCTGGGACAGGCCTGTACCAGTGACCACCCCGCTCTGCAAGTGACACGTAGGTGACGTCCCTGCCAGCCTGAGCGAGGGGCTGCCCCAGGCCGGCTCCAAACAACCCATGAGTGGCAGCCGCCAGGGCAGACCCCAGCCTGCCGTGGACCCTCGGCTCCAGAAGCCCACGTCCTGCCCCTGCTCCTCCTTCCCGGGGCCTGGCTGGTGGCTGGGAACAGACCAGAGCTCTCGGGGACTGGAGGGTCCCCCCAGCCTGTGCATGAGGGCTGGGGTGAGACCCGATCTGCTGGGGGCCTCAGTTACACCAAAACAAGTCCCCCAAGGACCCAGCGGCTCTGCCTGGCGTCCTCGGCCGAGGGCCTCCGAGACGCCAGGAGCCTCATCCATGCGCCCCACTCTCCTCCACGGACAGGCACCAGCCGAGCCGCATCTGTACAGGCGACCTGCGGGCCCCTTCCCTGGCCCAGGCTGCCTGCCCTACTCAGCGCCTCAGTCCAGACCCAGATCCGTGGCCTCCGGAGATCCTGTGCCCCCCATCTGGGAGACCAAACCGGCCTCTGGCAGCACGAGGCATGGACGTGGGGCGCCGGGTCTCTCCTTCCCTGGAGGGTGGGAGCAGCAGGAGGGTCAGCCCGGGAAAGCAGAATGGCTCACTGAGCCCAGGGCAGGGGGCCCCGCTCCTGGACAGTACTCGGAGGACTGTGTGCAGATGCAGAAGTCGGGGAGCCCTGTGAGGGGGGACCCATAGCCAAGCAGCCCCAGGCTGCTCACCACTGAGCTCTGGTCCCAGTTCCCTACCCCAGCTTCCCCCCGGATGATGTGTGGATGGGGTTGTGCCCTCTGGGGGCCTCGGTGCTGTGCACACATCAGATGGGAAGGCATCCCCTCGTTGGGGTGCCAGGGGCACTGGGGGCACCCCGTGGGTGGAGATACAGAGCTCTGCTCACACCTTCCGCTGCACGCACACTCACACATACACACTCATACTCACATTGCACACGCACACATTTCCACTCAGGCTCACAAACGTAAGCATGCGCACGCTCACATGCACTCACATCTCACGCGCACTCATGCTCACACTCACACCCGTGGACACGCATGCTCACACGGCTCGCTCCCACACTTGTACGTGTGCGTGCTTATGTGCACATGCACACTCACACTCGTACATAGGCACTCACAAAGAACTGCACTCGTGTGTGCAGTTAACACATTCAGACGCTCACACACCCTCCCCATGCAGACCCACACGCATGCACACACACATCACACACACCCTCACACGCACATACAGACGGCGCCGTGGCACCTGCCTCATCCCTCCCTCCCTAGGAGGTAGGACGCCCCCAGCCCACGTCCCCACCCCCCACCCCCTACACTGTGAGACAAACGCTGGGGCCCAGGTTCCTCCCAGGCAGGGGCACACGTGGCTCCCCCAGCAAGTCCTGTGGCACGGGGTGCGGGCTCCCAGGTCTGGCAGCACAGCCACTTCCCAGGATGGCCGCCCGGCCACCACCTGACCGGCCCTGTGATGCCGAGACCCAGGCCCGGCCACCCAGGGACTCGGCCCTACGGAGGCGGGGGGGCAAGTGCAGAGCCAGGAGGTCGAGACACACGGCAGAGAGCTCGTTCTGCAGTGGGCCCCCTGCTCCCACGCGCTGCTCAGGAGCAAGGGACCAGAGTGGTGTGCGGCCATCGCGGGCTGGGGTCATCCTGGGGACACGGGCTGCTGCCACAGAATCGGGCACAGACTCACGCCTGGGCAAGCCAGTGTGGAGACGGCATCCAGCAGAGGCACGAGCTGCAAGCCCTGCGGCCAGAGGCATCCAAGCGGTGTGGGCGCTCCCCGCACCGAGGCTCGCCCAGCCTGTGCCCCCTGGACAGGTGCGCTGCGTGTGCGGGAAGCCCGGAGGAGGTCCCGCAGTCTCTGCGTGTCCCCACGGGAGGGCTGGCGCCGGCCCCACTCACCACCACACTCAGGGCGGGAATGGGGTGCTTGGGTGAGCGGGGTCGCTCACGTCGCACAGAGCCGAGGGGAGACATGCAAGGCAAGGGGCAGGCAGGGCCGGGCAGACCGTCCCCGGGGTTGGCCCGAGGGCCCTGGGCGGGGCGAGGGGGCATCCAGGGCCGGGTTCCCCTGGCCACACCTAGATGACGGCGCTCTTCTCCTCCTGGAAGGACGCGCGGGGGGTCGGCCTGGCCAGCAGCAGCTCCTTCTCATGGACCAGGTTGTCTAGCAGGTCCTCCTGGCGGTAGTTGTGGTAGACTTTCAGGAAAGCCAGGATGGTGATGGCCAGCCAGGCCAGCCACGAGGCCCAGAGGCCGAACTACGCAGAGGGCAGAGGCAGGGTCAGGAGGCCGGCCGGACCCGCCATCCACCGCCCGGTGCGCCCACCCGCCTGCCCGGGCAAAGGTGCGACCGCTTCAGGGGCAGGACCGGGGCGAGCTCCGGGGTCCGCCTCGCCTCCTGCCTCGCATGGCGGCCAGCCCTCTGAACCCCAAGCTGCGCGATGCTCGGGGCGGGGGGGGACTCCGGCCCCCGGCTCCGCAGAGAGCCCGTCCAAACACGGCCTCCCCCGCCGCTAGAGCAAACCGACCTTTAGCTGCCGTCACCAAACACTGAAGGAGAAACAATTTAATCAGAACCAGGCCTGAGCCACATCAAACAGATTCTCCTTGGGGGTTATTTGTCACCAGCCTCAGCTCACGCCTTCCTAATCTAATTGGTGTGAATGAGGCTGAAGCAGTCTCCACTAAATGTTCGTGCAGGTGTCTCTGGCAGTTTCAGCTCCTCTCAGCAAAGAACCTTCGGACCCACTGGATGTCCAACCCCCTAGAGGGCCCCTCCCCTGAAGGAAGGGTCCTCAGACCGGCCACTGGCCACCGTGAGCCCTGAGAGGCGGGTCTGGGGTCCGGTAATGGACCTGGATGCCAGGGAGCCCTGCTCAGCGCTGGAAGGAGCCAGTCCCACCCAGGCTGGCTCCTGCGTCACCAGCGTCATCTGCCTGGACACAGATGCAGATTTGAGAAACAGACCCTCACTGACCACTAACAAACCCTGACGCTCCTGCATCCCAGCCCGCGGGGTCCCCAGAGATGACCGGAGGGCAGGGGATGCAGCTTACACAGGCTGTCCCCCCACATCACAGGCTGGACCCCTATGCCCCTCCTCAGACACCGCCTCAGCTTCCCCGGCCCGGGAATACCCACGAGCGCCCCAGCATTTTCGGAGGGTGCCCACCTGGCACCAAGCTCCCGACCCGGCACTACAGATCCAGGATCCGATGCCTCATTTCCTTTCCACCTGGCCTACAGCCACTGCCTGAGCCCCCGGACCTCACTCCTGCAGCGAGCTCAGGTGCCCGCTCTCCCAGGATGCCCCTGCCTCACCCCCTCTCCACTGCCACCTGCAAGACCCCCTGCTTCAGTCTTGGAGATCCAGCCTCCCATCCCCTTCCGGGAAGCCTTCCTGGCTGTACCGCTCACTCAGCTCTATCTCCTCTGCCTGGCTCCATCCTCAACCTCCCCTGGGGGAGGGCTGCGCGCTCAGTGAACGTCCAGAGGAATGGACCCTCCCCAAAGTGCATGCTTCCCTGAGCGCCAGGCAGCCCCCCACCAGAGCAGCCTCACCCACCTGGAAGCCCCTCCCACCAGAACGACCCCGCCCACCTGGAAGCCCCTCCCACCAGAGCAGCCACGCCCACCTGGCAGCTCCCCTCCCACCAGAATGGCCCCGCCCACTTGGAAGCCCCTCCTATCAGAATGGCTCCGCCCACCTGGAAAGCCCCTCCCACTAGATTGGCCCGCCCACCCAGAAGCCCCCACCAGAAGGGCCCCGCCTACCTAGCCAGCCCCGCCCACCACAGCAGCCCCGCCCACGCGGCAGCCCCGCCTACCTGGGCGATGGCAAACTGGTCATAGAAGGCAGAGTTGTCCACGTTTAGCTCCAAATTGATGTCCTGGAGCTCTTCACAGCTGAAACAGCAAGACGTGGGGTGGCAGGCGACACTGGGACACGGAGCACAGGGAGCCGCACGCAGCACCCCCAAACAGTGACGCAGCTGTCCTGGCCCCAAAGGCCTCATCCCTGACCCCCTCCGGCCCAAAAGCTGCTGCTCACGCTCCTCTCCCATTGCTATCGCTGCCTGCCAACCCTCCAGCAGCAAACCCGGCTCAGCACTCCCCAGGCCCCTCTGCAGGCAGCCCAGAGTGGGGTCCCCGGGCCTTGCTGTGTGGCCACATCAGAGCGCACTGGGCCTCCAGTCCCCCAGCCCGGGTCCACCCCGGGTGTGCGAGGCCCTATTCTCTTGTGAAGGGGCATTGACATGAAGGAGGCCGGTCCAGGAAAGGCTCTGGCCGGGTGTGCACAGGTGGGGGCCCAGGCAGGAAACCTCGGGCTCGAATGGGATTCTCCTATATTTGCCCTTCGCAGAGAAGGCAGGGGGTGGCCTCTACTGCACTGGTTTTCATGAGGAAATAACAAAAATATTAAGGGGAAAACTTATCTTATGGGTTTTATACTGTAGTATAAGGCTCCCCCATAATCCATTTATGTTTCTTTTTTTAGGATGTATTTATTGCACCAGGACGTCGTCTGGGGGCAGCAGGGGTGGGGCAGGGCCCAGGCCCACCTGTGGGGCACGGTGCCCTTCTCAGTGATGGCGTCACACCACATGGTGAAGCCCACGCTCACGATGGTGCTGGCGATGAAGACGAGGAAGACCACGGAAGCACTGACCAGGAGGTTCAGGAAGGCATAGAGGAAGGAGCTTCGGCAGAGGACAGGAGAGGACAGTCACCGTGCGCCACCACCCCAGGGTCCCCACAACAGCCCAGCAGGGCCAGGAGACAGCTCGGGCCTGGGCTGGATGGGGTAATGGGGCCATGCGGGGCCACCGGGGCCACCTTCCCCTCCCTCGCTGTCCCGCACCCCAAAGCCCCATCCCAGCCTCCCCAAGGCCTGGAGTGGAAGCGCATGTCAACCCTGCCCTACAGAGGAAGCAGAGCCAAGATCCCAACCCAGTGGTGTTTGCTTCCAGCATGTTAGGTCCAGCACAAGCTGAAGAGCAGGACACCATTTCCAGGCCATTGCCCCACCCGGCTGCCCTGAGGCCCTGTGCCCACATGGTCACCAACACTGCTGGCCTGGACCTGCGTCAGGGCCTTGTGGTGTGACCCTGCTCTCATCTAAAAGGCCCAGCTGTGATGGGGTGGGGGTGTGGAGAGCACCGGAGGCAGGGCCAAGAAGACAGGTCCACATGGACCCGGGTGCCTACACGGGACACCAGTGTTTGCTCTCTGGCGGCACGGGGACTGGGGTCGCAACACACCAGCCCACCCCACCACCCGCCATCTCCGAATCATCCCCTGGAGACTCAGAGTCCTGCACGGGAGCCTCGGTCAGGCCTGGCTGAGCCTGGGTGCATGCAGGGGGACCCGAGGGCGTCCTCGGGAGGGGCGGCAGCACCGGCCACCCTCGCCGCAGTGGACATCTTTGCCATCAACCCATCAGGTCTGAGGGGCACGATCACACCAGCCAGGAAGGCAGTGCGGCTGCTGTCAGGGGCCGGAACTGCGGCCGGCGCGAAGCACAGATCCTTGTCCACCTGTTCACTCGCCAAGCACTCTCTGAGCATCCGCACCCCCTGTGCTGGGCCCTGAGGACAGGGAAATAACCATGCCCCAGTCCCGGCCCCCGGAGGCCTCCCAGCCACGGGCAGGCGATAAACCGAGATCAGCGGCACCCAGGTGGAAGCAGGCGCCAGCAGGCCATGCTGCTGCACAGGCGCAGGGGCAGGAGGGGCTGGGGGCATGAACGGGAGGCAGGAGGGGACCAGGCTGCAATCCCAGAATCACACCCAAAAGGGCAGGAGAGTGGGGCCAGCCAGCGTGTTCGTACTCTCACTCACAAGGACGCCCGGGGGCCTCAACCAGAGGCGGCAAAGGTGAGCACCCCGTGCCAGCGCGCTCAACACCCGGCATAGGCCCCCACCTGAGCTGACTGGGGCCACCCTCAGGACAGCTCAGTGTCGAGGGTGCACATGTTTGCTGCCCGAACTTATCTGTGCTGCCTGAGTTGATCGGTGTTTGTGGGTGGGCTCCAGGCCCCCTGCGCACAGCAGATTACCCGAGGGCCCCACACTCTGCAGATCCTCACCCCTCCATCCTCCGCCGGAGGGCTTGCCCCAAGTAGACCATGCAGTGACCTCTCTCCCTGGATTGGGTTGAGCTCAGCCAGTGGAGGCCCAGCAGGGGCCTGGGGTACAAGGAGAGGTGGGAGGTGCTCATCCCCAGGGCCCTGCCGGGGGGGCGCCCCCACTTGCTGTCCCCCTACCAAAGGTCAGCACGCCTCTCCAGGCGGCCTCATCCACATAGCCCTCCCCATGTGGACCCTGCGGCCAGAGGAGGTGACAGGGCCATTGCAGGGCCCACGGCTGGCCCACATGCTCGTCTCTGCCAACCGCTCTCCTCAGGTTCCCCTCACGTGGGCGAGCCATCTGTTTCTAGCTGGGACCCCCATGGACAAGCCTAAACTGCAAAATCCACTGGGCCCTGCAAAAGCCAATAAGAGGTCGGGGGTTATAAATAGTTATAAAGAGGGGTAGGTTCTGGCCGCCCCAGCTCCGAGGAGGTCCAGGCACAGCAGGGTGTCAAATCCAGCCCCCCTCTTGGCCAGCTGTGTGACCTCAGCAAGTTGCTGTCCAAGCCCCAATTTCTCCCTTTGTAAATTGGGTGGCAAGAGCCCCCCACTGGGTCATTGTGGAAACTGAGGGAGCTTATGTGGGCAAGGGACCCTGGGCAATAACCGCCAAGGTGCTGGCTCCTGAGCACACACTCCCTCCCCAGGACAGGCCTCCACCCACCCCACAACCCTGACCTGGCCTGCCTGGAGCTGTGCGCGCACGGGGCTGGGCCTGCGGCCACAGGACACAGAAGCGGGGGAGCAGGCCGGGCAACCAGATACCTGGAGACTGTGGCTGGGGCCCAGCTGTGCCCCCTGCGGGGCAGCGGGGTTAGGCACGGCTCTGGGAGTCCACTCCCAGGAGCTAATGCTCCAAGGAAAGCAGAGGTTACCCAGAGCCTACACCCCGACTTTATTTTTGTTTTAAGATTTTATTTATTCCTGAGAGACAGAGCGAGAGGCCGAGACACAGGCAGAGGGAGAGGCAGGCCCCACGCAGGGAGCCCGATGTGGGACTGGATCCCAGGACCCCGGGGTCACACCCTGAGCCGAAGGCAGGCACCCAACCGCTGAGTCACCCAGGCTTCCCTCCCCCGGACTTTAGATGGCCACTTGACTCCAACCAAGGAGAATGGAGTGGTCCCGGGGGGACCAGGACTGAGCTTCCCCAGGCAGAGCACAGAAGGCCAGATCGCCGGGACAGCCGGTTCCCTGGGTGCCCTCCACCTGCCCACAGCCTTCCATGTCCCGCCAGGCATCCTGCCCAGCAGGTCCCCAACATCCTGGGCGAACCAGCTGCTGCCCCCAGCAGGCCTTCCTAGAGGGAAGGAGGGCCAGGGTGCACGGGACATGCCGGGCAGGCAACCACCCCACCTCAAACCCTGCTCCCCGGCATCCTCCACGCTCTGTACTGAACCCTAGAGAGGCACGGCCGGCAGCTTGTCGGTCCCTGCGTGGCCACCCCCAGGGAACCCCCCCACCTCCATTCTGAGACCTGCCCCCTCCCGCCCTCAGGGGGTTTACAACAGAACCTCCGAGAGCCAGGAAACCTGACTGTCTGGAGACTCCAGCCATATCCCTATCAAACAGGTATGTAGGGTTCTCCCGCCACGACAGGAAGGTGGCACCCCATCCTATAAGACAGTGGCGGTGGGGGGTGAGGTCATCCCCCCAACATCCTCCTCCCACTCCCCAAGTCCATTCCTGGTCTGTTTCCGTGGAACCTGCCTGAACCTGCCTGGGTTTCACAGAGTTTTGAAGAATTGAGTGTGTCACCCACCCCCCCAGAATGCACAATGCACCCCCCTGCCCACTCCCCAAGGACCCACAGGGCAGTGGCCAAAAAAAAATAATAAACCAGGAAGGCCGGCACACACAGGGTTAACGCCATCTCTCTCCAGCCTCTCAGGGTGCCGCCGGATGTGCCGTCTCCATGGTGACAGCTATCCGGGTCGCGGGAAGCCCTGGGAGCGATTTGCAGACTGGGGACATGTGTGGGCAGGCAGATGGGTTGTTTTGACCCAGCGCTCCCCAGCCGTCAATCATAAACTGCTGCCACCTGCACTCTCCAAGGGCTTCTGCTCAGGCAAAGCCGCCCCAGGCCCCCAGGCCTGTGACCACCCTCAGGTCACCCCGGTGCCCCCCGCCAGCAAGCACCCCAGGAAGCCACAGGTGCCACAGATTCCTTCAGTCACCGGGATGAAGCCTCCTGGAAAAGCTGCCCCAACCCCTTGGCCCTGTACGCTCCTGGGCACAACTGTCCGGGCCCCCACTTGGCCCAGGGACACACCCCACAGGAGGAGGGAGGAGACCACAGACAGGGTCTGACCCAGGCCCTGGGGACTTGGCTGTGAGCCCCTCCCAGATGAAGGGCAGGGCTCCTGGCGGGTCTCCGCAGTCACAGCAGCCAACGCAAGAGCAGTGTGCACGCTGGCCCTAAGCAGGTAGGGCCCTCTAGAGCTCCAAGTCTGGCGGCAGGACTGACGTCCCAATGGGCTGGACACCTGGGGCCCTCGCCATCCCAGGAGCTCACTCCAATGGCCCTGCCCAGCCTCCTGCCCGCCTGGCCTGCTCCGTGCGGCCTGACCAACAGCGGAGCTGGGACTGGCTTCTCCAGGTTCCCATCCTGCCTGTGGCTGCACAAGGCAGGCCCAACCTTTCTGGGGGTCCAGGACGTGCTGAGACAGCCAGCCTGCAGGGTTGACCCCTCAGCCAGACTGGGGATCTGCAGATCTCAGGCCTGGGGGTGGCAGGGGGTGCTGTGAGGCAGCAGACCTCATATACACACATCCCCCCCCCATGACTCTCAAGCTCAGCCCTGAGCACCCAGAGAGAAATGAGGTGCACACCTGCCTTGGGTTCATCCAGCTCAGGGCCCCTCAGATGGAGGGCCACTCCTGGATAACCAGGGGAGCTGTGACCCAGTCCCACCACCAGACCAGGGTGAAGGCTTGGCACTTCGATGGAGGCCACAGCTGGCTGGCTGCCCAGTGCACCCTGTCCCTACATAACAAGTGGCCTCAAGGTGTTCCAGGGTCTAGCTGGTGAGGACCTATAAGCAGCTCCCTAGGTATGGCCCAGCCTCTGTGGCTCAGACCAACGCGAGATTCCAGAGCCCCAAAACACCCCCAGAGACTGGGCATGAGAAAGACAGAGCTAAGAGCCCCAGAGCCTTCAAGAAAGGAATCCTGGTCATGCAGGACTGCCCATTCCCACAAATTGGGCAGCAAATCTGGGGAGTGTCATCATACAGCTGTAAGATGGGGTCTCTTGAGGCCATTTGTCTTATAGGGACAAGGTGGAGCAATGGGCATGAGCTGATGGTCAAACCATGCTCCCCCCATAGCCTGTGCCCACTGGCCTCAGGCAGCTTCCAGGACTGAAGGGACCTCAGCTACCCTACCCTGCTCACTGTCCATCCTTTTCCTCAGACCCTGTCTCATACCCAGAGATGTTCCCTGTCCCCATCTGCACAGAGACACTGACTAGGTGACACCCAGGCTTGGCAACATGCGTGCCGATGACATCTCAGATGCTTCCCGGGGACACCAGCCATCCAGCAAGTTGTGTAAGGAGGAGGCCTGAGGGAGGGCAGGATGGCCCCCTGACTGGCCTGGGCTCACCCTGTGCAGAGCCCCAGCCCCACAGCACCTGGAGGCACCCCAGGCTGACATGTGGCTTCCTGCAGACCCTCAGTCCAGAACCATACTGGAGGCTACTGAACTGCGCCCTCGACAACATGCGTCCGAGGCTTCACCCCACTACCAGTGCATGTGACCCTAGTTGGGCTTGAGGTCTTTGCAGGCGTCATTCAGCTAAAGATCTCAGGATAGGTCATACTGGATTTAGGGTGGGCCCTAAATCCAACGACTGGTGTCTTTATAAGTAGAGGGAAAGAAACAGAGAGAGAAGAGGCCATGAAACAGAAGACGGTGATAGGAGTGACAAAGCCCCACGCTGAGGGATGTCAAGGGTTGTAGGCCGCTACCAGCAGCTAGCCTAGTAAGGATTCTCCCTCCAGAGGGAACCCACCCTGCCAACACCTTGATTTTTTTCCTCTGGCCTCCAGAACTGTGGCCGAATAAATTGTTTTAAGCCCCAGCTTATGGCACTTTGCTAGAGCAGCCCGGGAAACTCACACACGTGGGCTGCTGGACCTCACCCTCCGCTGGGTGTTTCAGTCCCCACAGTAGGCTGTCCCATCCTCTTCACCTGGCCACCCCTGTCACTCCTCTCTGGCCCCTCTGTCCAGGCCCAAGCCAAGCTGAGGGCTCTGGGGAGTCCCCACCTGACCTCCTACCCACAGAGACCCTCAGAGCAATAGCTTATCTCTCACGTCCCCAAAAGAAGAGAAAAGCCCCTAAAGATGGCCAATGGTTGATGGATGGGGCCAGGGCAGGGTGGGGTCTGGGAGAAGGCTAGATTTCCCCTGCGGATGTGAGGCAGGTGAGGGGCAGGAGGGATTGTGGTGGGTCCACAAGGGGTCCCAGGGGTGGAGGCCATAGAATGCTACAGGCTGAGGGCCCCAGGGGAACCACATCCCCCTCTCAAGAACTGTGCCAGGGCAGGAAAGGCCAAGAGGCACACGGAGGCCGGGAGGAGGGAGGCCTCCTGGACCTGCTTGCTGCTCCCTGTCATGCATCCTCAGCCGAGCCTGTGGCCCCACCATCCTCATCCTTCCCAGGAGGATGGGGGTGGGGATGAGGAGAGGACTCCCCAGTTTGCCTTGTCAGCCACCTGCCTGGCCCGTCCCTCCCCTGCACCTGGAGTAGGCCTGAGCCAGCAGGCCAGGGAGGCCAGGGGGCCAGGGAGGCCCAGGTCGGCTCAGAGATGACGATGCAACATTTGCTCTGGGGGGGGGGGGGGAGGTGATGCACTCGTGCGGAGGCAAGTAGTGGCCTTGTCCGGAGCGCAGGCGACCCTCAAGGTCCCCAGGTTCCGCGCAGACAAAGGGCGGTGTGCACGGAGGCGCTGAGCACCCAGGGTTGATATGTTGGCGGCCTGCGAGCTCCCCGGGAAGAGGGAGGGTGTCGCGCTCCTCCGAGGCGGGGAGGGCGGCTGGGGGCTCCGCGGGCTGGGAAGGGCCCCAGGCCCCACTTACCCCTCGTGTCCCTTGCAGAGGAAGAAGAGCGTGCGCCAGGCGTGCGCGGCGGCGAGCAGCAGCGACAGGAGGCTGGCCAGCAGGCTGAAGCGGCAGGCGGCCGGCGGGCCCCACTCCTGCACGGTGAAGCGCTCGCGCTCCTGCACCGTCAGGTTGGCGCTCAGCCACATGCCCTCGGTGAACAGCAGGCAGCGGCCGCGGAAGTCGTGGCCGTTCTCGGACAGCGGCACCACCACCACGAAGCTGAACAGGAAGGCCAGGAAGTAGCACACGCACTGCGCGAAGAGGAAATTGTTGAGCGCCATGGCTGGCCGGGCCGGGCCGGGGCCGGGGCCGGGGCTGGAGCCGAGGCGCAGGGCGCGGGGCTGGGGCGCGCGGGGCTGGGGCGCGCGGGGCTGGGGCGCGGGGCTGGGGCTCGGGGCGCGGGGATGGGGCCGAGGCTGGGGCTCGGGGCGCGGGGCTGGGGCTCGGGGCGCGGGGATGGGGCCGGGGCCGCGCGGGAGGCTGCGCAGTGGAAGCGCCGGCGGGTCCTGCGCGCACCCCGGCCCGGGACGCGTGCGCAGCGGCCGAGCGCGGGCGGCGCCTGCGGTCAGCACCGCGGACAGCTCCCGGAGGGCGGGCGGGCGGGCGGGGGGCAGGGCGCGGGGTGCGCGCCTGGGGAGGGATGCACCCGAGGAGGCGCGCGGTGGGGACGCAAGCGGGGACGCGAGGGTGGCCAGGCCGGCGTTTGGAGCCCCGCCTCCGCCGCTAACGGTACCAGGAGCTACCTGTGCGGGCCTCCCATGGGCTGCCGCTGTCCCCAGGCCCCCGTGCGCCTGAAGGACCGGAGACCTGAGGCCGAAGGGTCCAGGAGGGCCGTGTCCAACATGCCCACAGCGCTGCGCGGGGGTGAGGCTGCAGTCCAGGCCGCTACGATTCTTCCGCAGGGGTCCTGGAGCGTGGAGGAGGTGGGGTCAACAGGACAGCGGAGGTCATCTGCGGAGAGGTCGGAGAGGTCGGGGTGGGCGCAGGGAAGAGGGAGCAGTCTGGGAGCTATCTGCGCTTCTCCAGCACTGCACCCTCAGAGGGTACATCTGTTATACTGCCTGACACGAGTAGGGCCCTGAGTTGATATTTGTAAGATAAATAATGGATGCCCCGAGCACCTCATTAAGACAGCCTTTGCTGAGATGGAACCTGCTGATGCATTAATTAATAGAATTAATGCCTTGTCTAGTTCCCTTAAGACTAAGTCACAGTTTAGTCCAATTCCCAGTGCAGAAGCTCTAGTATTGCTCCTTCCAAAAGAAATTGCCAACTGGTTTAAAATTACATCAGCATTTTGTTGCAAGCACTAAAAAACCTTTTTGTTTTATTGCCAAAGCAATACATGCCCTTTTTTTTTTAAAGTCAAGCAGTATAGATATAAATTAAATAAAAAGATAAAAGTGTCCTTCTCATTCTCCCACACCACCCTGCCAACTATCTGGGGTAACCACATTTCTAGACATTTTGCTAAGCGCCTAACCACACACACATACACCATTTACACAAATGCTTCATACTATACATCCCATCCTGCAGGTTGATTCTTGTATTTAGCAATACGTCATGGCTGTTATCCCCTGTCTATAATTCAGATCTATTTTAGTTTCTTTTTTTTAAGATTTTATTTATTTATTTATTCATGAGAGACACACAGAAAGAGAGAAAGAGGCAGAAACACAAGCAGAGGAAGAAGCAGACTCCACGCAGGGAGTCTGACGCGGGACTCGATCCCAAGTCCCCAGGATCACGCCCCAGGGAAGGCAGCACTAAACCACTGAGCCACCTGGGCTGCCCTATTTTAGTTTTCTTAATAACTGCATAACATTCCATAATAATGATGATTCCACCATTGCTGAACTATTCCTCTTTGAATGGATGTTTAATTTTTCAATATCTGCTATTTTGAATACTGCTGAGTGGACATCCTTATGCATAGATGCTTGTGCAGGTATTTCTTATAAAGGAAATTCTTAGAAGAGGAATTGCTGCATCATAGGGTATGCACATGTGAAGTGTTGACAGAAATTGCCTAACTGGTCTCTAAATATGCTCCACAAATCTAATCTTATATCCATGTCGTGGACACCTTCTCTGAAACTGAGAAATATTGGTTGTTTTAAAATTCTATCAGTCCAAAATAAATAAATAAATAAATAAATAAATAAATAAATAAATAAATAAATAAAATAAAATTCTATCAGTCTTGCATGGGAGACAATATCTCATTGATTGTAAACTTGGATTCTCCTTATCATCATGAGCTTGAACATCTTTTCTTATGCTTGCTGCCATCGTAATAAGTCTCCTGTGAAGTTGCACCTTCAGTTTGCAGTCACTTCAAAGCATACACCACAGACCACCCATAGGTCTGTGACAGCAACCCTTTTCTTGGAGAATTCACTCAGTTTCTGCTATTATTGAGTACCCCAATTCAACCAAAGGAAGCCCTCCTAGGAAATTCAGCATCCATACACCCATAGACAACTTGGGCAAGAGTGAACATCCCATCCATCCATTATCCTGGAGGTTGACAAGTTTGAACATATCTGAGGGTGTTAAACTTGAGGGTTTGGCCAAAACTAAAGAGACCATGCCAATGAAGAAGGAAGTGACCAATAGGAAAACTACAGAATAAACTGGAAAGATTATTAAATTTCTACCATTTTAAAAGGCACAAGACCCTGACATTTTTATTTTTTAAAAAAGATTTTATTTATTTATTTATTAATGAGAGACACAGAGAGAGAGAGGCAGAGACACAGGCAGAGGGAGAAGCAGACTCCATGCAGAGAGCCTCATGCGGGACTCGATCCTGGTCTCCAGGATCAGGCCCTGGACTGAAGGCAGCGCCAAACCTCCAAGCCACCCAGGCTGCCCTGACCCTGACATTTTTAAATATGAGTTCTATTTAACCTTCAAACGTTCAAGGGAATTCCCTTGTTATTGAAATAACTCTGGTCCATTAAAAAAAAAAAAAAAACAGAAAACTCCACAATTCATTTTGTAAAAGTCAGCATTACATTAATGCTAATGCCTCATTAGAAGAATGAGACAAAGAAAGTAGCAAAAGGGCAGCCTGTGTGGCTCAGCAGTTTAGCACCGCCTTCAGCCCAGGACCTGATCCTGGAGACCCGGGATTGAGTCCCATGTCAGGCTCCTTGCACGGAGCCTGCTTCTCCCTCTGCTGCTCTTGTTTTCTCTCTCTCTGTCTGTGTTTCTCATAAATAAATAAAAACAAAATAAGAAAGAAAGAAGAAAGAAAGAAAGAAAGAAAGAAAGAAAGAAAGAAAGAAAGAAAGAAAGAAGAAAGTTTAAAATATTGGCATGTTGGATACAACTCAATGTAGAAGGATAATCAAAAACATGCACTAGTAGGGCAGCCCGGTGGCTCAGCGGTTTAGCGCCACCTTCGGGCCAGGGCGGGATCCCAGAATCAAGTCCCATGTCAGGTTCACTGCAGGGAGCCTCTTCTCCCTCTGCCTGTGTCTCTGCCTCTCTCTCTGTGTCTCTCATGAATAAATAAATAAAGTCTTAAAAAATAATGCACTAGTAGCATTTATTATAAAAGCAAGAACAGGGATCCCTGGGTGGCACAGCGGTTTAGCGCCTGCCTTTGGCCCAGGGCGTGATCCTGGAGACCCGGGATCGAATCCCATGTCGGGCTCCCGGTGCATGGAGCCTGCTTCTCCCTCTGCCTGTGTCTCTGCCCCTCTCTCTCTCTGTGACTATCATAAATAAATTTTAAAAAATTTAAAAAAAAGCAAGAACAGCTGGGATTATGAAGTCTATCAACAATATATTATATCAACAAATAAAGGAGAAAAACTCAAAGTGCTTTCAACAGATACCTAAAAGGCATTTCATACAATTGAATGGCCAATCATAAAAAAAAAAAATGGGGAAGCCAGGAAGAAAATTACCTAAATATGATAAAGACCACCTTTAAAAGATATCAAAATTCAAATCAGGAAAAGAGATGAGATGAGCATTTTCAATATTACAACTGACCATTTATTTGGCAATTCTACCTAATGAAACAAGTCAAGAAATTTAAATATACACTATATATAGAAACAAAGAGGCAAAACACTTTAATTGGGGGATAATATGATCATATACTTGAACACTCAAGGGGCACCTGGGTGGCTCAGTCAGTTAAGCATCTGCCATCGGCTTGGGTCATGATCCCAGGGTCCTGGGATGGAGCCCCACGTTGAGCCCTGCTCAGCGGGGAGCCTGCTTCTCCCTCTCCTGCTCCGGCTCCCCCTGCTTGTGTTCTCTTGCTCTCTTGCTCTCATATAAATAAATAAAATCTGGAAAAAAAAAACCACACACACACAATACAAAAAAATTCAAATTTGCAATATTGTACAATGACTAGATATAAGATAAACATACAAAACTCAATGCCCTTTCTCTGACATGTTAGGTTGAGTTCCCTAATAGTTCGGAGACTCCGAAATGTACGTGCAGCAACACACGCAGCGAAGCCAGATACAGAGCTGGGTGCAGGGAGAAGCTGTAACAGAGGCTCAGCTACCACTGTGGGAAGCTCTGAGAGTCAGACGGTCGCTTGGAGATGCCCCAAGCTGAGGCAACATCTATTCTCCCCCATTTTCCAGTCAAAGGGGTGCCGACCCGGAGAGGATGAATTATCCTGGGTGAGGCAGCTTCCTTTGGCAGAAGGCAATTTCTAGAGAGAGTCGTGGCTCTGGGCAGGCAGCAGGCAACACTTCTGGCAGCTGGAGGAGTAAGTAGCTCTGTCCTGAGGGGATGTAACCAACACACCCCGGCATCCCCTACAGCCCTCGAGGCCAGATCCGCCTGCGGCAGATAGTAAGTTCCCCCAGTTTGGGAACAGCTTCTCTAAAGCTCTGCTCTTTGGGAAGATTTCCTCTCACCTCTGCCTTCAGGGCCGGAACCAGAGGTGGGGCTCTACTTTGTCCCACAGACCTTTCCCCCTCGTAAGTGTTCTCAGGTTAAGTCCAGCAGACTCCTGCTCCTGCGGCTCCGCTGTGACTTTTTGCTGTGACTATTCCTGATGTAGATGTGCCGTGTCTCTGTTCTGGTGGACGGCTGCTGGGTGGGCATGACTCTATTATGATGCGGTGGGTCAGGGACAATCCCGGTCATGACGGTCGATTCTGGCTGTGTGGTCAACTAATGTCTCGCAGTTAGGCCCTCCGCCTCCTCCAGAGCCAGCTGCAAGCCAGGAGCTGTAGCATAAGTGGATCCAATTCTCCTCTGTAGACGTAGGGCCTTGCTCTGGAACCTTAGC